AAATTCTCGTCCCTTTAACCGAGAAAATAAAGATGATTTGAAGTGTAATTTCTGTGGACAAACCCGTCATACTGAGGATACATGCTTTACTAAGCATGGAGTGCCTGATTGGTTCCCAGAGTTAAAGAAAAAATTGCGTGCCAAGGAGCGTGGAGCAGCCGGGTTCAGTGGAGGCCGTGCCTCCCTTGTTGCGGCTACACCCACTGTTCAGGAAGCCGTGCCTAGCCCTGGTGACTCTGGTCAGAATTTGTTGACTCGTACTCAGGGTGCCTCGTCGTCCGACACAGGTATCATGGGACATGTTCTCTTAGCCTCCGAGAAACAGCACCATACAGGTTGGATTCTGGACTCTGGGGCAACGGATCATATGACATATGATAAAAATATGTTTCAATACATGACTACATCTCACAGGAAAAATATATCCACTGCCAATGGTACTTTGGCACCCGTGTGTGGTGCCGGCACTGTGCATCTCACCCCGTCACTTCCCTTACATCATTGCTTGCTTGTTCCATCTTTATCACATCACCTATTATCCATACCACAGGTTACTGAACAATTGGATTGTGTTGTTCTAATGTATCCATCTTTTTGTCTACTCCAGGATATTCAGACCAAGGAGATAATTGGGCGTGGCACTAAGAGAGAGGGGTTGTACTACGTGGACGACGTCGTCTCTGGAAGAGCACATGCAGTTCGCGCATCCCGGTCTAGTAATTTACAAGCAGTGTGGTTGTTGCATCGTCGGTTAGGCCATGCATCTTTTGGGTATTTAAGGCATATGTTACCTAGTTTATTTAGTGGAATAAATGAATCAGACTTACATTGTGAAGTATGTATTCTTGCTAAAAGCCATCGTGCTTCTTTTCCGCCTAGTATGAATAAAAGAGCTTTACCGTTTGAACTTGTGCACTCTGATGTTTGGGGACCATCTCCGGTTGTTACTTCTTCTGGGATTAAGTGGTTTGTTACGTTTGTTGATGATTGCACTCGTATGACGTGGCTATATGTGTTACAAAATAAGAGTGATGTTGGTATGGTATTTCGGAATTTTTCTCAAATGCTTCAGACCCAATACTTCTCTGTGATTAAAGTTCTTCGTTCTGATAATGGTGGTGAATATATTAATCGTGAGTTGTCAGAGTTTCTTGGTGATCAAGGCATTCTCCATGAAACAACTTGCCCCTATACTCCACAGCAAAACGGGGTGGCTGAACGAAAAAATCGCCATATCTTAGAAACGGCACGTGCACTACTTCTGGGTGCTTCTGTTCCTAAGGTTTTTTGGCCTGAAGCTGTTACTTATGCCGTTTACGTGATTAATCGTATGCCCTCTCGGGTGGTTCATTTTCAAACTCCGTTTCAAGTCCTCACTCAACATGTTCCTATGGTGTCTTTTCATACTCTCCAACCCCGGGTCTTTGGGATGTGACCTTCTCTGAATCAGAGTATTTTTATACTCCCGTATCTTCATCTTCAGATCCCCAGGGGGAGAGCTCTAGTGATGATCTGAAATGGTTGGACTTGGAAGGAATCCCTGTGGTTGATGCCGTGCATAATGGGGCAGTGATTATACATGCCGAGAATGATAAATCTGCAATTGTTGCCGAGAGCAGCATGCAGTCAGGACCGGTTCCAGATGAGAGTGATCCCGAGAGTGATAAATCTCCAACAGTCACCAAAAGCAGCATGCAGTCAGGACAGGTTGTTGACGAGCCTACTATGTACCCCCCTCTCTCTCTAGCTCCACAGTGCTGCCCAATGAATCTTCTCTGGATATACCTGAGGTAAGTATTGTGGATGATTATGTAACTAATACAAGTAATGATGTAAATACATATAAGCTGCCACCGAGACAAAATCGGGGTGTGCCTCCTAACAGGTTTTCTCCAGAAGGCAAAGTGAAATATCTAATAGCCAACTATGTCTCATGCAATGGTCTTGCACCAGAGCGCAAGACTTTGGTGGACAATATGGAGGCTACTCGAGTACCAACCCGTGTGGAGGAGGCTCTAAAGGATCAAAAATGGGCAAACGCAATGGATGAAGAAATGTTGGCGCTACAGAAGAATAATACCTGGGAGGTGACGTCTTTACCAGAGGAAAAAAAAACAGTTGGCTGTTGTTGGGTGTTCACTGTCAAATACAAAGCCAATGGATCAATCGACAGGTACAAAGCAAGGTTGGTAGCTAAAGGATACACCCAAACATATGGTGTAGATTATCAAGAAACGTTCTCTCCGGTTGCCAAGATGAATACGGTACGAGTTCTGATATCTTTAGCTGCTAATATGAACTGGCCATTAAAACAGTTTGATGTGAAAAATGCCTTTCTTCATGGGAACTTGGAGGAAGAAGTATATATGGATTTTCCTCCTGGGTACAGTGCTGGTAGAAGTACCGGAGTATGTCGGTTGCGTAAGTCTCTTTATGGGCTTAAGCAATCGCCTCGTGCATGGTTTGATAGGTTTACTCAAGTTATGAAAAAGATTGGGTATTACCAAAGTCATTCTGATCATACATTGTTTGTCAAACGGAGACAGGAAAAAGTGACGGCCTTAATCATCTATGTAGATGACATGATTATTACTGGGGATGATTGTGATGAGATTTCAAGGCTGCAGAGAAATCTTGCGGCTGAGTTTGAAATGAAGAACCTAGAGGATTTGAAGTATTTTCTTGGAGTCGAAGTTGCTCGATCGTCGAAAGGTATTTTCTTGTCACAACGTAAGTATGTTTTGGATTTGTTAAAAGAAACTGGTATGCTGGGATGTAAGCCAGTTGATACTCCTATTGTTGAAAAACATCATCTATGTTTGGATCCGAATCAGAAATCGGTTGATAAGGGGAGATATTAGAGACTTGTAGGGAGACTAATTTATTTGGCTCATACACGACCAGATATTGCCTATGCAGTAAGTGTAGTAAGTCAATTTATGCATTCACCGAGTGAGGATCATATGGCTGCTGTTATGCGTATCTTAGCCTATTTAAAGTCTGCACCTGGAAAAGGAGTTCTCTATCGGAAGCATGGACATTTAAGGATTGAGGGGTTCACGGATGCTGATTGGGCAGGAAGTGTAGGTGACAGACGGTCTACTTCAGGATATTTTACTTTTGTAGGAGGCAATTTAGTCACATGGAGAAGTAAAAAACAGAAGGTAGTATCAAGATCCTCAGCTGAAGCCGAGTTTCGAGGGATGGCTCACGGCATTTGTGAGCTTCTCTGGCTTCGAAAACTTCTTGAGGGGCTTGGGTTCAAGCCAAAGGAGAACATGAGACTATACTGTGATAATAAGTCAGCGAGAGATATAGCTGATAATCCGGTACAGCATGATAGAACAAAACATGTGGAAGTTGATCGACATTTTATTAAAGAGAAACTTGAAAGGAAGATTGTATCGATCCCGTTTGTGAGTTCAGATGAGCAACTTGCAGATGTTCAAACTCATGCAGTATGTAGTCGAGAGTTTGATGACTCACTTGTCAAGTTGGGCATGTGTGATATCTATGCACCAACTTGAAGGGGAGTGTTGATCATGAGTCAATAGTAGGAAAAAAGGAATGTAAATAATAGGAGTCCTTTTTCAGTAGGTTTGTATTAAAGCTTTTGTTTCTTGTGGAACGTAGATTTGTACATGTATATATTTCAGAATAAGTAATACAAAAGATATTCCGGTAAAAGTTCTATTGGTTGTCCCTATACAGTCCCTATATGTGAGGACATACAATATGCATCCGATGAGTCCTTATACTTTAGGGACTCACTTTCCAATCCGTGGGAGATTCATTTTGTCCTGATGTTTGTTTTATACTTATTTTATATGGTGGTTATCCCTATTTAGTGACTCCATTAGAGATGCTCTTAAATTCAACAACAACTTAAATATGGGAGGTCCTAGGTTCGATGCTATGAGCTGGTGAGTCTGCTTGATTGTGGCCATAGGTAGGGTGAAATTCCCCATTACCTCTCTGGGCCCGAAAAGGGTGGATAACTATAGCTTACCACATGTTGTCTCTCTTTTCAAAAAATAAAATAAAATAAAAATAATAAAAACATCTCTTTGTACGGTCCTATCTCTGTGGTGGCGAATTTGTTTTTCTTGCCATGTGATTGCAAAATCGTAATTAGATAAGAATCTAAAACAAAAACAAGCCACTCAGTACTACGCTCTAATGATATTCCTCTTCACTTGAAAGTGAGAGGTCTTAGGTTCAAATCATGTGGATGGCGAATTCAATACCAAATTAGGTTGTCCATTGTGTGATTTAGCAGAATTCTCTATCCCTTAATGTAAAAATATCGATGTACTAAAAAAAAATAAAAACATAACCCAGTTGATTAAAAAGGTTAATAATTGCAAGAAGAGATGAAAGAACATTGAAGTGAAGTAGTAAAGTGAGATTAAAATTGGATTAATTAGAAGAAGAACATATCTTAGTAAAGAAAAGTAATAATGTATATGTACTCTGGTGCCCATTCATTCTCCATCTCTCTTCCTCTAATATTTAACAATTTAACTACTAACGTTATCTTCTCTTAAAAAAATTGAAACAAAGACAAAACAAAACCCATTTGTTTAAGGGGGTTAATAATTGTTTTTTTCTCGAACAAAAGATTAATAAGTGTTTTTTTTTTTACAAAAGGTTAATAATTGTTTTTTTTTTTCAAAAGGTTAATAATTGTAGAAAGAGTGAAAGTACAGTAAAGTGAGATTAGAATTGGATTAATTGAGAGGAAAAGCATGGTCTGTCAATTGGTTATTGGTTAATGCAGAAAAAGATAATGAAGATAAGCCCGGCTAAATATAGAAAATCCACCGCCACCTGGACCAACCTGGGCCAACCCTCCCTGCCTACCTCTTTCTCTCTCTAAACCCTTATCTTCTCCCAACTCCAAACACTTTCCCTTCAGAAGTTTCAGACCAAACTGCTCTCGCTCTCTCGGCTCTCAAGCTCAGACTATAAAAACCCTTCAAACCCTTCCCAAAAAAATCAAACCTTTCTTTCTTTCCACCTCTGCTTTCTGAAAACGACATTAGATTATAGATATACCGCCGTATGATCAGTCATGCCTCGCTTTCAAAGATTTCTAGGCAGCAGCCCCCACTCCGCCAACTTCTCAAACATAACGGCGGCTCCGCCTCCTGAGGCCGTGGCTCTCGAGTCGGACTTCGTCGTCATACTGGCAGCGCTGCTCTGCGCCGTCATATGCGTGGTGGGTCTACTCGCCGTCGCACGCTGCGCCTGGCTCCGCCGCGTATCCGGCGGCAGAGCCGCTATCGGATCGGCTTCTTCATCCGCCAACAAGGGCCTCAAGAAGAAGGTCCTCCAATCCCTTCCGAAGTTCACGTACGGAACCGGCGGCGCCGAGCCGCCGCCTAAGCTGGGTTCGGAGTGCGCCATCTGCTTAGGGGAGTTCGCGGAGGGGCACGAGATCAGGGTTCTGCCGCAGTGCGGGCACGTGTTCCATGTCGGGTGCATTGACACGTGGCTTGGATCCCACTCCTCGTGCCCGTCGTGCCGGCAGATCTTGGTGGTGGCTCGGTGTCACAAGTGCGGTGGGTTTCCGGCACCAGTATCAGAGGCGGAGCTCAAGGCTCACCAGGACCACACCAACCGTTCAGCTCCTCCTCCGGCAGCGGCGGCTGCTGCTGCACCCAGTACTGCCGTTAGTATTAGTTCTAATACGGCTACAACTACCAATTTTCTGCCTTAAAGTTTGCTAATTAGCAAACCCACTTTTTTAATTTTTCTTTATTGAACTAGCCTTTTATTTTTCTTTTTCTCATCAATTTGTATTTCCTGCCACTCTTTTGTGTACAGAGAGAATCAATGGATCATCATGTTTATGCTTCTGAAATTTTTTCCCCAATTGACACCAATGCAATGCAGTGGTTGTGTGCTATTTTCTTCCCCATTTTTATCAAAAAGGTTAAAATTATATAACTAGGGAAATAGAGAGGGTGCTTGTAACCAAGAAACTACTTTGGATTTGACAAATGTGCACACATTTTTGTTTGTGTTTTGTTTGAGTAATCACGTGAGAGAGAAACTCTTACTAAGGTAGATGCAGTAGATGGGAGAGCTAATGAATACTTGCTTCTAACTTGTTTAAAATTCGTATTACTTATTGACACGTATTATCGTAGACAAATTCTTAAAATATTAGAAATTTCATATTTTGTGTAAAATTATTCAAATACGACACATGGTTGGTGAATTTCAAAATCTTTTTTCATGTAATAAGACAAAACAACCTTGTTATACTTAATTATTTAGTTAATTAATATTTCCAATGCTCTGAAATTTCCCTCTCCTAAATCATACTTGTCATGTAGATCTGGTTAATGGGTTGTGTTTGTTGTGTTTATATCGTTTTCGTATTATACTTGTTATTTTAACGGATTGTATCGCGTCAAACACGTTATGTTAACGAGTTCTTAATAGATGACCCGATAATGACCTGACTCGTTAATGGGTCGTGTCTTTTCATGTCAGGTTAATAGGTCCTGCAAGAAATTACATGCTTAGTGTCTAGACCTTGAAAATGGGCGTGTTTGTGTCGTTTAAGTATACCTGTTATTTTAACGGATTCTTAACGTGTGACGCGATAACGACCAAATTCGTTAATTAGTTCTTAACAGATGAGCTGATAACGACCCGAATCGTTAACGAATTGACCCAAAACTTGTTATTTTCATCATTTCACATAAAGTAAAGGGTTTTGCAAAAAATTGCCAGTCCCAACCTAAAGTTAATAAATTACAAAAAGAGAGGTTCCATGGTTCTAAAGCAACACCCAATTCTGTATGTGGCTATTTTATAAATGATTGTTGCATGTCGCATTAAAGTGGGCAAAGGGTCAATGGGGTCATAGATGCTTGGAGACTTGGAGAGTGGAAAATGAAATAAAATTGAGGCCTAACTTAGAGAGGTCAGATGGTTGGACTTAGAAGCACAACCATTGCTCTTACTTGTGAGTTGGGATTTTTTATTGATTTTTGTTTCCATTTTTGTTGAACTTTGTGGAGCACTCTTTGCAAGTTGGAGTGCCATTGACGCTAACTTCTCAAAGCTTCAAAATATGCTCAATTTTGTACCATCCAAATCTAAAAGCAGGTCCAACAGAATAATGACAGGGTTTTAGTGATTGCTAGAATTTCTTCAAGCACAAGCATGGTCACTGAATGGAGAAGGGATACCCTTCAAAGTTCAAACCCCCTTTTGGTTTTTTTTATGTAAAACTTTAGGTTGCATTTCATCTTTAACACGACAATACTTGTGTTCAGCATATGACGGAATCGTTTTGCGAATAATTAATCAAATTGGTGTTCATCTAATCATTAGGGTATAAATATGTAACTTGATTGTCAATTTGTTGATGCAAGACAATACAAGTAACTTTTTAGGTTGAACGTTAATTTGTTAATGTATAAATAACTAAACGATCTCTAACTTGATTGAGTTTTTGCTAGAGATATAAAAAACTTTATTACGGCAGTTTGCCCAATGAAGATACACAAATCACAGTTGGATGGATAAAGATGTGCACTCAAAGAGGGGACGTAAATTTTGTCCTTCTAACACTGCCGACTCTTTACAATTAACATTTAGTACTATAAAATTTTAAAACAAAAATTATGACTCATGTATCAAGTGATGATTTGTCAATAAAAGAAAATTTTCTTGCATTTGAAGGAGCCAAAAAACTTGAATTCTTTTTGTGCTACAAAACCTATGAGCTGTAATTTCACTATCCTACCTGGTTATCTCCTCTAATTACAAAAATATACAGTTAATAAAACTATAAGTATCTCTTTAAACTCAAGTTTACTACCTAAACTACACTTACAAACTCAATCCAAAATGTAAATTAAATTTTACACCTGATTATAAAATAAAAAAACCAAGTCGTCCTCTATCTCTGCAAGCAAAGAGTAGCATTTACAATCAGCAATGACTTTACTCACTCTCTTCCTTTCCCTATTCATTCAGTCATTCATTTTAGAGTAACGTGCTGGTTTAGTCTTTGATTATTAGTAAGGGAAAATTAGGTCCTTAAATTATTATTTTTAAAAAAATCAATCATTCAACTAATTAAATCTGCCAATTCTATTCCTAATATTAGATTTGAAACTATTCTATTTAATTTTTCGTTAATTTAAGTCAAGTGACTTGCATGTGACAAACTTTGAGTTTAAGGACTTACTAAAAAAAATAAAAAAAGAGTGTCTAGAGTTAACTTTGGAGGGTGAATTAAAAATGAGATTCACAAAGAATATACAACGTTAAAGGCTTATAAGCGAGAAAATGACAAGGTTATTCTCTAAAATGTGTCATGTGCAAGTCATGTGAATTAAGTTGACAAAAAATTAGTTAGAGTAGTTTTGAATATAATAGTAGAAAAGAAATTAGTAATTTTAGTAAACTCGCGGAATTATTTTATCAAAACAATAGTTTAAAATCTTAATTTTTAGTCAGATGATGATTCAAATCTAAATTGACCGTTCATCTTTTATTTTATACTAGCCTTTAGCCACACGCATACACGTGTGGCAATTGGCCTTTTTATATTTTTTTATTTAAATAATTAATTTACATATTTAAAAAAAAATTATTAAAAAAAAAAAAAAAGAAATGAATTAAAGACATGAAATCACCCACTAACGTGGGAGGGTTTTTTTTTTATTTTTTTTTCCTTTCTATAATTTTAAATATTAAATGCATTCAAAATAAAAATATGGTTAAATACTTTAGCTTCTTTTGGTTCAATTGTAATTTATGAAATTCTTAAAGGGTAATTTATGGTATTTTAAATATTTCATCATTTTAGAGTGCTCACTTTGCATAGATGGATTAAAAGAACAAGTGACAAGACTTTGGGTTTATCTCATCCTCTGAACATGATGGGCTTTTGACAGTGGTGCTGATATTCATCCTACAGAAAAAGCGCATCAATTTCTACTTTCTGTTAGTCTTCAAGTAACTTATTGAAAATAGAAAGAGATGGTGAGGGACTCGGTGGGTTCTTTTATTGCTGCTCGGCGATCTCGTTTTCCAGGCCCCTAGTGTTCCGGTTGCTGAGGTTTTAGCCATTCTGCGAGGCTGTGAGTTGGGACATTCTTTGGGTCGTAGTCATGCGGTTGTTGAATCTGATTCCTCGAACTTTATTTCATGTTTATAGGGTAGCATAACAAATGGTAGGTGGGAGGCGTTTCCAATCTTAACAAGGTGTAAGAAAGTCGGCAATTCCTTCCATGAATGTCGGTGGTCTTGGGCTCCAAGATCAGCCAATATGGTGGCGGACTGGTTGACGTCGCGCGGTTGTGTGGAGATGTGTGACTTTACTTGGGTTGACAGACCCCCATCTTCACTTGTTCATGTACTTAATAAAGATGAACTGCCTTGCTCACATCAATTTTCTTTGGTTGTGCAAGGGGTGATGCTAGTTGCTTCCTAGTAGTGTCGGCTTTCTTCCCTTGCACTTCCAGCTTTGTTTTTTGCTTGTTTGCCTCGTTGTGGGCTTTCGTTGTAATCTTTGGCATTTTTGCCCTGACTATAAATTCCAGTTCACCAAAAAAAAATATATATATATATACACACATACACACACACATATATAGAAAGAGAAAAGTGATGAATAAATCTCATAAGTATTAAGAAAAGAGAAAGAGACATCTCTGGATTTCTTCCTCCTAATCATCAAATCAAGGAATTCATACCGTTAAAATTTGATTCAACAGCTATGAACAGGGGGGCCACTTTAAAAGTTATAATAACTTCAGCCGTTTGATCAAATTTTAACAGCATGGATCCTTTGATTTGCTGGATTAGGAAGAAAGGATCTGAAGAGAATCCCTTTCCTAAGAAAAGAAATGCCTTGGGCCCCCCAACTATAATCCTAGGTTATTGATCGTTATTAGATATCTTCTTATAAACGATGGATAAATCATTGAGAAATGCGTTTTCTAATTATTAAGAGTGTTTCTTTCTTAAATTCACAAGTGTTTTGTATCGAAAATCTTATTGAAAATTGTACATACTCGCTTACCTACTTGAATATCTCTCTAATTAATTAGATGATCAAGACCGTTCTTTCTTAACAATTTATAATTGCTTTAGATTTAAAATAAATATTAAAAAAAAATGTTACTGGTGTTCGTATATAATCACTTACCTACATATCTAAATATCTCATCAATCAACTAGAGAACCTTCTAATAATCCAAAAGTGCTTATGAAAATATCAGTAAAAGCGGTTTTCAGATAACAAAGAACGTTCTTTTCCATTACTTATAAGTGAATTTGGATTTGAAACTTGGTGCCGTAGATTGTTCACAATCACTTACCTAACCAAAATATCTCTCTGGTCAAATAAAAAACCTTAAAAGCAACTTATATTCCTGGTATTCATGAACAAAAGAGCACCGAGCCCCAACTTGTTCAAATGAGTTTATCCTGTGTGCTGCCTAAGTGGCTATGTCAATAGTTTAATGTTGATCCGCCGCTCCAGTCACTCCGGTACATTTGTCAGTCAAAAGCCTAATTTGGCCAACCCCATTATTCTCCCTACTTTCCACTAATCACTCCTAAACTCCTGCCTAATGAGAACTTGACATCTCATCCGGCATGAAACTCATATATTCTCGAATGTTCTCGGTTGAATAAAACTACATGTGGTCTCTCACTTGCATTTATTGGAGAAATTCTAAAATTCTATTGATAGCAGACAACACGTATGATATTTTATAATCATACACAATCGATAATAGAATAAATTTTCTTTGACAAAAACTCTCAAATATATCGATTGTGTCATCTTTCCAATGATTTCATGAAATCAGTAATAAATAAATTTTC